AGCATTGGCCTTATTGTCCAAGGACATCTTTATAGTCATTGAATTCCACTTGTGTTTGGATTCTTTTTTTTCTTTTTTAAAGATTTTATTTATTTACTTGAGAGAGAATGAGAGATGGAGAGCACGAGACGGAAGAGGGTCAGAGGGAGAAGCAGACTCCCCGCTGAGCAGGGAGCCCAATGCGGGACTCGATCCCGGGACTCCAGGACCATGACCCGAGCCGAAGGCAGTCGCTTAACCAACTGAGCCACCCAGGCGCCCCACTTGTGTTTGGATTCTTGACAGCTAGGCACCTGTTTCAAAAAAATAAAGTTTCAAGAAGGTGGAGGCTTCTGGAATGTTGCCTTCTGACCTTTTCACAGAATCCTAGTAAGCAAAGGACTGCCTGGCACCGTCACTGCATATACCCGCACATGCACACACCCCCACACACATGCAGGTGTGTGAACACCCACATCCACAGATTGCCTGAAGGACTGCTAAGTTGGCACATATAAAGCTCGTTTATGTACTCTGCACTGTGTGTATACTTCATATACATTTAAAGCTTGTTATGTACTGTAGAAGATGTATTTCAATAACATCTTAGAGCAGAATGAAAATAATTCTGTTCTTGGATATTCCTGACCATCTGGAGTAGCACTCACCATTGTCTTTTTTTTTTTTTTAAAGATTTTGTTTATTTGAGAGGGAGAGACACTGTGAGAGAGGGAACACAAGCAGGGGGAGTGGGTGAGGGAGAAGCAGGCTTCCCACAGAGCAGGGAGTCTGATGCGGGGCTCGATCCCAGAATCCTGGGGTCATGACCTGAGCCCAAGGCAGACGCTTAACAACTGAGCCACCCAGGCGCCCCTCATTTGGTTATATCTTTTTAATTTCTTCTAATTTGGAGAAATCTTTGTGGTGGTTTTCTTTCTTTTCATGTGGCATTTTTGAAGAGTCCAGGCTGGTGGTTTGTAGTGTCTGGATTAGTACCTCCTGGAGTTGGGTGTAGTGCTCTTATTTTGTGCACTTCCCGTCACGTGAAAATTAGCCCCAGAGCAGTGCTTCTCAAGCAGCAGAGTGCGAGGGCTCTTGATACCAACTGTAGGCTACTTCCAGAAGTTTCTTGTTTCTGGGGGTGGCTCCAAGAATTTCTGGGGACTGCACTTTGAGAATCACTGCTCTGGGATTGAGTAAATACGGTAAATGTGTACATGTGTTGACAGGAATGCTGGATCTGCTTCTTATTGTATCGCACCAGCAGGCAGACATCAGGTTGTCCTGTGGTGACTGGTTCTGAGTGTGAGTTCTAGCTTAGGGTGCTGATCTCTGTAGAATTTCTGCTGTTCGTAAGTTTCCATTTACAGTTGTGAAGGATTGGATGATTCTCCAGCATCGTGACAGTTTTGTTCCCAAATGGTTCTTCCCAAATTTGTTCCCAAATCCCCCCCCTCAGGTATTAGTGGATTTTCCAAATATCTTTCTGTTACTGATGTATTTTTAAATTTATTTTTAAATATTTTATTTGAGAGAGAGTGAGAGAAAGAGAGCATGAGCAGGGAGAGAGTGGTAGAGGGAGAAGCAGACTCCCCGCTGAGCAGAGAGCTTGATCCCAGGACTCTGGGATCACGACCTGAGCTGTAGGCAGACGCTTAACTGGCTGAGTCACCTAGGTGCCCCTGATTTTTTTTTTTTTAAGATTTATTTATTTGTTTCAGAGAGAGAGAGTGCAAGCATGAGTGGGGGGAAGGGAGGAGGGAGAAGCAGACTCCCCACTGAGCATGGAGCCAGAAGCAGGACTCGATCCCAGGACCCTAAGATCATGACCTGAGCTGAGGCAGACCCTTAAGCACCTGAGCCATCCAAGCGTCCCTTTCTGTTACTGATTTTTAAAAGAAATTCCTTTATGGGGCGCCTGGGTGGCTCAGTCGTTGAGCATCTGCCTTCAGCTCAGGTCATGATCTCAGGGTCCTGGCATCGAGCCCCACATCGGGCTCCCTGCTCAGCGGGGAGTCTGCTTCTCCCTCTCCCACTCCCCCTGCTTGTGTTCCCTCTCTCGCTGTGTGTCTCTCTCTGTGAAATAAATAAAATCTTTATAAAAAAAAAATTCCTTTATGGTAAGAGAACATACTTTGTCTAATTTCAGTTCTTTTGAATTTGTTAGTTTGTGTTATGGCCCAGGTTGCGGTCCGTGGGGATGAGTGTTCATTGTGCACTTGATGAGAACATTCTGCCGTACAGGGTAGAGTGCTCTGTAAATGCCAGGGTAGGTTGGCTGACAGTGCTGACCATGTCTTTCTGTCCTTTCTGATACTGTTTCTTCCATTAATTACTGAGAGAGGAGTTACGAAGTCTTCCGGCAGTATTATGGATTTGTTTCTTTCTCCTTTTACTTACATATTTCATACTTTGTGTACTTTGAAACTGGTGCTAGGTGCATGCACATTTATGATTGTTAGAGCTTATGGGTGATTTGATCTTTTATCATTATATAATGTTCTTCTTTATCCTGGGCGGTTCTTCCATTTTATTTTTTTGATGTCTTCTTTGTCTTATAGTAGCTACTTTTTTTCCTTTGAACGAGTGTTTGTATCATATCTTTTTCCATCTTTTTACTTTTAATCTTTTAACATTATATGCCATTATATTTCAAGTATTTTTATTTTTTTGTAGGTAGTGATTTTTGTCCTCCAGGTGACATTTGGTGACATCTGGACACATTTTTATTGTCACGACTGGGGGAATGCTGCTACTGGTATCAAATGCGTAGCGGCCTGGTTTGCTGTTGAACACTCCACAATGCACAGGACAGCTCCATCAACAGAATTCTGAGACCCAAAATGTTAATGGTACCGCTGTTGAGAAGCTCCACGCTAAGGATTGCAATATACATAGCTAACTTTTCACTGTTCATATTTTACACTTAATGTAAGCTATGGAATTGCCTGCTTCTTACAGGATAGCCGCCATATCCATTCACATCTTTCTATGCTGAATACTTCACCAGATGATGTTACAGCTTTTGCTTTCAACAGTCATACACGTTTTAAAGAATTTTGTGTTCTTTATTTCCAAAAATCCAAGTTTCCTGATGGTATGATTTTTCTTCGTCTTGAAACTTTCTTTAGCTTTCTTTTGTATGAGGTCAGATGGTAACATACCCTCCAAGTTTTATCTTTCATCTGAGAATGTTTTTGTTCTGCCTTCATTCCTGGAGGATCTTTTTGCTGGATATAGAATTCTGGGTTGAGCCTTTTTCCCTTTCAGCACTTAGACATGGAGTTTCTGTCCTCTGGCCTCATCTCTCTCCATGAGAAGTCCATGGGCATTTGAATTGATGGGCTTCTCCATGTAATGAGTTGTTTTCTTCTGCCTCCTTCCAAGAATTTTTCCTTCATCTTTGCTTCGAGTAGTTTGATTAGTGTGCTTTTTGTGATTTCCTTTGACTTTATCCTGTTTCAGCTTGCTGTTGTCTTTAAGTAGATTGTAGTATTGTCTGGCACTCATTTATGCTGTAGTTGTGGGCTTGGTTGGGTTTATTTGTCTTGTATAAAGTCTGTGGACTTCAGAGGGTGCGAGGGGAAATTTCGGTTTCAGTGACTACCATCATGTCCCGGGGACACACAGGTCTGTGCTCTGATTTTTACAATTGAGGTGAATACCTACCACAGAGGTTTGATGTAAAATCAAATAAGATAGCATTCGTGGGCTCTGCATTATACTTTCTGATGAATTCTTGGTTCTCAAAGTAAGCTTTTAGTTTTAAAATGTGCATATGTCTGTGATTGAGGAGAGATAAAATGGGAACTTGATACAGTAGGCTGCCTGTTTTTGGAATCAGAAGAGGATTATTGAACCCTGAAAGGGATGCTGGTCGTGGAGGAAATTATTTCCTTGCATAGAAAATTCAGAAAAGGGAATAACAGAGACAGAGAGTAAGTGTAAGTGGGACATAGCATCCTTGCTGCGTATATCAAATCTGACAACAAACCAAGGGACCGTGTTCCCACCTTTCAAAAGAAGATACTTACATAGTTCAAAAGTCACTTCCATGACTTTGATTGATGAATGTAAAGTTGGGCACATTTTACATCCAATCGATCTGTAGCAGAGTATTTAGATATGACCTGGAAGTATAGATTTTTTGCTAATATTTCGGGTGATTGTTTTTATATTCCTGAATTGAACACCATGAGTGGGTGGTACTGTTGAGCTGACTGTTCACACCAGTGGCTTTGTGGAGGGCTCCCCTTCTAGCATGGTCATGTTCGCTTCCTTGGGCAGCCTGTTCCTTTCCTTCTGACCCTGGCTAAATACATTTTTTGTAAAGGAAAGTAGCATCCCTTATTTATAATGGTTTGCCTCTGCCGTAGACAGCTTAGTTTGAAGAAAAAAGAAAAATGTGGTTAGTAGAATGGGACCAGCTCTTGTCTTAAATAATACCCTTACTGGTGACAGAAGGCTGCTTGGCCTGCCTCAGCATTCTCTTCTTACCTCTGACCAGGTACCAGCTGGAAGATGAGTCTGCCCATTTGGATGAAATGCCATTAATGATGTCTGAAGAAGGCTTCGAGAATGATGAAAGTGATTACCACACGTTACCACGAGCTAGGATCACACAGAGAAGAAGAGGACTAGAGTGGTTTGTCTGTGGAGGATGGAAGTTCCTCTGCACCAGGTTTGTGATCTCTTGCTGCCTAATTTCCTATGCTCTCAGGTGTACAGTTAAGGTATTTAGAAGCTCGGCTTCTAACATACTTATTTTTATATCAAATAAAGAAGACACTCTCAATGAAATGACATAACGGAAAGTGTTAAACATTAGTCAGAACCAAACATTGCTAATCAGAAAAGGACAGAATGCCAAGTTCACTTTCTTTTTTTAAAGATTGTATTTATTTATTGGTCAGAGGGAAACAGAGAGCACAAGCAGGGGGAGCGGCAGAGGGACAAGCAGACTCCCCGCTGAGCAAGGAGCCTGATGTGGGGCTCGATCCCAGGACCCTGGGATCATGACCGTGAGCTTAAGGCAGACGCTTAATCGACGGAACCCCCCAGGCGTCCTCAAGTTCACTTTTTTTATGCGACATTTAAATGTTTAGAAAATGGAGAAAGATGAGTGGTTTTGTATTGATTGCATGGTACAGTCAATTCTGGTCAGTGTGTCAGCATTTGTAAACCGTGCTCTCTTCCATCTTCGGTCCTGCTCTCATCCAGAAAGGCAGGTAGGGGCCTGTAAAATGCAGTTTAATAATACTGTAACTCTGTGTATTATGGGCCTGTAAAATGCAGTTTAATAATACTGGAACTCTGTGTATTATTTGACTCAAGTGCTTTGACTTGGAAGAAGATTCTTCAGTAAATTTAACCAGAAAGAAACAAAGGTAAGACCTGCTCATATGTAAACAAGTTCACTGGTGGTTGAGATAAACTTCATCAGCTGTGCTCACCCTTGACTTTAGAGGCTGGTCTGTGAAACCACACTCTGTGTCTAGGACACTTGGCCATTGACTGTCCTCCAGCCCTAGGGACAGGTAGAGCAAGATTTCAGCTGACTGATGCCAACATAACTTGAGTGGGGTATGTCGAATAAATTACTGCTTCGATAGTCTTTCTGCTCTTTAAAGTTTGTGGTCAGTGCCTTTCTTAACCATCATGAACTTAGATCCCTTTGACCATAAAAGAGATACAAGTCATTGTAGAAAGATATCTTCTTTATCATCCTCATTATCTCTTTAGAAGTTTGTAAAAAGATGTTTTTACAACCAGTTTGATTTTGGGGTCGGCTCACATAGTGGTATTCAAACAGTGGTGTGTGGACTCCCAGGGACTCTGAGGAATCCCTCAAAGAGATCGAGCACGCAGAATCGGGAAGTGAGCCTGAGCAGGATTTAGGCTTATCACCCCCTCTCAGCTTCCAATTCGTGTCTGTCTTTATCTTTCCTGTATATTGTAAGCTTTTCATATGAAGAAGGAATTTCATGGCTAAACAAGGCTTTAGAAATCACTGACTTGTGTTACTAATTTTTAATGAGTGAAACAGTTTTTTCAAAAAACATTTTCTAGGTTAAATAGCCAATATTCCTGGAGTATTCTTTGGGGGTACTAAACCTTGTCTAGACTTAATTCCTTTTAACAGTTGCAGGGCTATGCAGAATTGTTTTTTCTTGTGTCCCTTGTGATGCTTTGTGCTTTTCAAGGGGTTTATCTACTTTCAAATACATAAATTCCTGTAATAGAAAATGTATGAGGTTCTGGAGGGATGTCACATTTTATTATTCCTGATATTGTTAATTTATCTCTCCCTTTTCCCTGTTAATCTTGATAGGAGGTTATCAGTTCTTTTCAAAGAGCCAAACTTCTGGTATTGTCTTTGCTTTTGAAATTTTAAGCTTTTATCATGAAATAAATCCAGACTTGAAATAAATTCACTTTTATCTTGAAATAAATCCAAACTTAGAGAAAAGTTGCAAGAATTCCTCCTATGCCCTTTGCCTAAGATCACTAATGTTTAATCTTTTGCCCCATTTATTGACCATTCTCTTTATATCTCACTGTTATTTTCCGAGTGATTTCAGACGAGGTTGCTTGTTACTTCACTCCTCTTTGATCTTAGTGTTCAGTGCATGTTTCTTAGGAAGAGGCTATTTTCGTACATGGCCACCAGGCAGTTGCCACGTTCAGGAGATTTTGCTCTGACACAGCTCTGTCTCCTGCCCACAGAGCACCCTTCCTCTCTAGGCTGGCCTGGCATTTAGGTGGCCATCTCCATGAGCCATCTCCATGAATCTGGAGCCACTCTTGCCCTAACTTTGTCTTGCATTCCATTGATGTTTATGGGAACTACACAACAGGTATTTTATAGAACATTTCTCTTGTCTCTTGTCTAGACCTCTTGTCTGAGGTCTCCTCGCCATTAGATTCAGGTTAAACATTCTCTGGGACACTGTATGAGTGACACTGTGTCCCTCTTAGGATGTCTGCTTCCTGTGTCATTGAAGTCTGGTCTGCCCTTAATTTTTTTCATACTGAGTTTAACTTGCCTTTCTTTTTCTGGCTTCGTTAGATGGATTCTCAGGTCACCAGCATTGTCCTTTTTTCTTTTTTAAAAATAGATGCATTTCAGTTTTGACACATGGTATTATTATTACTATTTAGTTCAAAATATTTTGATTTACATTGCCATTTCTGCTTTAGTTGATGTTCAATTTAGAACCATGCTGATTAATTTCCAGTCAGGAATTTTCCTGATTATCTTTTTGTAATTGACTGTTATCTTTTTTTTTTAAAGATTTTATTTTTTATTTGAGAGAGAGAAAGTGAGAGCAAGAGAGAGAGAGCACAGCAGTGGGAGAGGGGCTGAGGGAGAGGGAGAAGCAGACTCCCTGCTGAGCTGGGAGACTGGAGACACTGGGGCTGGATCCCAGGGTCCTGAGATCATGATCTGAGTTGAAGTCAGACGCTTCATGGACTGAGCCACCCCGGTGCCATGTGATCGACTTTATCTTAATTCCACTGTGGCCCGAGAACATACTTGGGATTTTTTTCTTTCAGCCTCTGTAATGTGTTGAGACTTACTTTATGATTCATCGTATATGGGCAGTGTTAGTCAATTTTCTGTGTGTATTTGAAAAGAATTTGTACTTTTTTGTTGACTGTGTTCCTTTTTTTTATAAAGATTTTATCCATTTATTTGATTAATTTGTTAATAGTCTTGTTTGAATCTTCTGTATTCATATTCGAAGTTTACTTATCAGGTACTGAGAAACTTGTGTGAGTCTCAACATCTTTGAGGATGTGTCTACTGCTTTAAATTATGTCAGTTTTGCTTTATATATTTTAGAGTATGTTATTAGATGATGTGAGTGTAGGGTTACTAACTTACTGTTGGATTGATCTTTATCTGATAATATTTCTTCTATGTGGGCTCATAATGTCTATCTTCAATAAAATGATACCAGCTTTCTTTATTTTTATTTCTTTATTTTAAATCCAGTTAGTTGACATACGGCGTTATATTAGCTTCAGGTTTCCGTACATCACCCCGTGCTTAACACAAGTGCCCTCCTTCATCCCCTTCACCTGTTTCCCTCCCCCACCCACCTCCCTCTGGTGAGCGTCAGTCTGTTCTCTGTTATTAAGACTTGTTTCTTGGTTTGTCTCTCTCTTTTGCTCTCTCTCTCCCAGCTTTCTTTGATTAGTATTTGCATGGTATATAATTTTCATCCTTTTACTTTGTTTTATTTAAAAAAAAAACTTTTCTGGGGGCGCCTGGGTAGCTCGGTTGGTTAAGCATCTGCTTTCAGCTCATGTCATGATCCCAGGGTTCTGGGATCAAGTCCCATATCAGGAGCCTGCTTCTCCCTCTGCCCGTGCCCCTCTCCCCTGCTCATGCTCTCTCACTCCCCCCTCTCTCTCAATAAATAAAATCTTAAAAAAAAAACTTTTCTTTTGAAATAATTATAGCTCTACAGGAAATTGCAAACTTAGTATAGAGGGGTCCCGCTATCCTTCACCCAGTTCCCCCCAGTGGTTGCATCTTTCTTTTTTTTTTTTTTTTTTAAAGATTTTATCCATTTGTTTGAGAGCGAAAGAGGGAGCCTGAGGTGGGGAGGGGCAGAGGGAGAGGGAGAAGCAGGCTCCCTGCTGAGCAGGGAGCCCCAGGTGCGACTGGATCATGGGACCCTGAGCCAAAGGCAGCCGCTTAACTGACTGAGCCACCCAGGCGCTCCCCAATGGTTGCATCGAACTAGAAAGTTGATGCTGGTATAAACTGTATATAGTTCACTACGTTTTACTACATGTGTAGGTCTGTGTAACCACCACTGCAGTAAAGATACAAAACTATCCCATTACCGCAGGTGTCTCCTATCTGCTGCCTTCTATAGTCATGTTCTCTCTCCTACCCCAGGCCCTAGCCTCTGGCAACCACTAATCCGTCTCTATTTCTATAATTTTAATTTTCAGAATGTCAAATAAGTGAAACCATTCCATTTGTGATTTTTGGAGATTGGCCTATTCCAATCAACACAGCGCCCTTGATAACCATTCAAGTAGTTGTAGCAATAGTTTTTCCTTTTAATTGCTGACTGGCATTCCAGGGGATGGATGAATGTTTGTTTAAGCATTCACCTACTATAGGACATTTAGATTGTTTCAAGTTTTTGGATGTTCCAAATAAAGCTGCTATGAATCATCATGTACAGGTTTTTTTTTTTGTATGGACATAAGTTTTCCTTTCTCTGGGCTAAATGCTCAGGAGTGCGGTTGCTGGGTTGCATAATAAGCATATGTTTAGTTTTTTATGAAAGTGCTGAACTGTTTCCCGGAGTGGTTGTACCATTTCACATTCCCACCAGCAGTGAAGGAGAGATTCAGTATCTCCTTGTCAACCTTGTTGTCACTGTTTTTTATTTTAGCTGTTAGAATATGTGTGTACTGACAGCTCATTGTGGCCTCAGGTTGTTTGCATTTTCTAAAGGACTAGTGAGGTTGATGGTCTTATTTGCCATAGGCATGTCTTCTTCAGTAAATGTGTCTGTAGGTCCATTCTATTTTCTTCTTGGTTTGGTTTTTTTTCTGGTGAAGTTTCAAGAGTTCTTTATATATTTCACTTGTGAGTCTTGTGTTAGGTGGGTAGTTTGCAAATATTTTTTTCCATTCTGTAGCTTGTCTTTTCATCCTCTAAGAGTTTTTCCACAGTTCCGAAGTCTTTAATTTTGATGAAGTCCAACTGTTTGTTTTTTTTCTTTTGAGCACTGCACTTTGATTGTCACGTCTAAGAACTTTTCACCCAGCCCTGTGTCTCAAAGATTTTCTTCTGTAAGTTTTATAGTTTAACATTATTTAGATCCTTTTTGAGTTATTTTTGTACAAGGTGGGAGGTTTTGGTTTAGATTTATTTTTTGCCTATGTATATCCAAACGCTCCAGCACCATTGTTGAATTGCTTTTATGCCTGTGTCTCTGGTCAGTTGGCTGCACACGAGTGGGGCTTGTTGCCTGTATTGTCCCTTCGTCTGCCCTGCTAGTGCTACCCAGTCTGGAGAACTGTCTCTTTATCTAAGTCTTCAAATGGGGTAGGTTGATTCCTTGTATTTTATTCTTTGTCAAGATTTTCTTAGCCCTCTAGCTATTAGGCCTTTCCATAGACATTTTAGAATAATCTAGCCCAGTCTGTAAAATCTTTTCAGGGATTTTGATAGGAATTATGTTTTACCTGTATATTAACTTGGGGGAAATGACATGTTTACTGTGTTGAATCGTCTAGATCACAGTTTACCTCTCTCCATTTATTGAGAACTTTGACCTTTTTATCAGCATTTTGTAGTTTTCAGTACACAGGTCTTATACATGTTAGATTTATTCCTAAGTATTTTTTTTTTTTTCTTTTTCCTTCTTCATGTTTGTAACTGGTATTTTAAATTTTGGTTTCCACATGTTCATTGCTGGTGTATAGAACTAGAGTTGGATTTTGTGTTTGTCTTGTATCCTATAGCCTTGCTAAACTTACTGTTAGTGCCAAGAGTGTTTGTGTAGATTCCGTGTAATTTTCTACTTGGACAATCCTGTCATCTGCAAACAGTTTTATGTCTTTGTTTTATAGCCTGTATGCCTTTTCTTTTCTTTTTTTGCCTTATGGGTCTGTCTGGAACATACACTATTATATGGAATAGCAGTGGCGAGTGTACCTTCTTGCTCCTTGTTCATAGTCCTAGAAAGCTTTCAGTATTTCACCATTAAGTATGATGTGAGCGATGGATTTTGTTTTTGTTTTTTTTTTCCTAGATTGCTCATCTAAAAATATTGACAGTTTTCTTTTTTTTTTTTTTAAGATTTTATTTATTTATTAGAGAGAGAGAATGAGAGATAGAGAGCACGAGGGGGAAGAGGGTCAGAGGGAGAAGCAGACTCCCCGCTGAGCAGGGAGCCCGATGTGGGACTCGATCCCGGGACTCCAGGATCATGACCCGAGCCGAAGGCAGTCGCTTAACCAACTGAGCCACCCAGGCACCCGACAGTTTTCTTAATTAAAATCTATCTTGTATTGGGTTAGTGTTTATACAGACAATCCTGTCAGATTCAGAAGCAGGATCTGGAGATGTAGGTTTCTGTGTCCTGTCATCATTGGGATTAAGGGAAGCCACACAGAAGGATGATGTTTCTGAAAACGTCAAGGGACATGTGGTGTAGGTCTTTGAAAAATAAAGGAAAGGGACACCTTGGGGGAGAAAGACAGTTTTGGGAAGGAAGACTACTATCCATCCTTTTAGGCAGGGGGAAGGGTAGGAGTGGAAGAGTGAAGTGGTGGTGGAGAAGATGACTTTTACCCTTAATTGGGAACGTGGGATCATTTGAGTGGGGAGGCGACTGGGATTCAGATGAGGACTGAAAACATGGGAAAATTGGTCATGCTTTGGTAGAGAGATCAATAACCAACAACGGAAGATCAATAGTCATGCGTTTGTATTGAATCCAGTGTAATGTTATGACTGTCTATCCGTGAGAGAGCCTGAACTGCCGCAGACTTGGCAGTGGAAGTGTGGCTGTGGGAGCTGGGGGTGGGGGGTGCCCAGGGCTGTGAACTGAGGAAAGAGCTTGCAGCAGAGGAATCTGGGTGGAGCCACCATTAGAAGTCATCTTTTCATGGCTGTGGTGTGCAGCTCACAGCTGTGTGTCCTCCACGAGCGCAGGGCGCAGGGACGAGTGGGAGCCGTCCTGCTGGTGCTCTTCTCCGTGGTACGCACCTTCTTCGGGAGCTGGGCGTCCATTCTCACCACTGTCTACAGCCAAGAACTGGAAAAGTCCCTCTTGTGATGGTCTGCGGCCAAGCCAGAAACTGAACCAAGGTCTCCTTTGACAAACCAAAGCCCTTGCTCTTTGCTCTGTGGCCTGGGAAAAGTGCTAGGGTGAGGAGTTGTGCTCCCAATAAGACTAATCCTGACTGGTGTCTTTAAGTGGATAAAGGCCGGTCTCGCCATCCTAAGGGGAACCCGGCATGAGGATCGCTGGAGTCGAGGAGGCTGAGAAGCTGTATCTGTGTGCATGGAGAATCACTGAATGAATGCTACAGGAGCTGTCAGAGATGGCTGAAAACACAGAGGAAGTGGGAGTGGGTACTGACAGGCACAAACTCTGAGGACACGGACCTTTTAATGTTAATGGTGTGGACTCTAAAATTAGGGGGCTTGTGTGCTATGGAAGTGGTACTTAATCCGTGCTCCCAAATAGTTGCCAACAGTTACGGACTTTTAATGTTAGGAGTCTTTTCATAGTGTTGAAAACATTGTTGAATTTATTTTTTGAAAGTTTTATTTATTTAAGTAATCCCCACACTCAACATGGATCTTGAACTCACGATCCCGAGATCAAGAATCACACGCTTTTCTGACTGAGCCAGCCAGATGCCCCCATTGTGGAATTAATTATTTTTGGTCTTTTATAGCACTTTGTTTTTACCAAATGGAACATAGACAAATTTTGGATTTTATTTGTAATATGTTACTTTTTTTAAAGGAAAATGTTAATATTCCAGATGTAGATGTTAGCAAAACACCCATGTTTGGGGGACATTAAAACAATAAAACGTAATAGATGTGTATATAAACTCTTTATCTCTGTAAGTGGTGATCGTGTATAAAAAACTAACTGAACCATGTTGGTGGGTTCTAATCAGTCTGTGTGGCACTGACATGTGTCTTTTTTGCTGTACGGAATAAGCAGTGATCCGGGATATTGTCGGCGCGCTTCTTGTTCAGTGCTATCTGCCATACTGAGCAATTACTGTTTAAATTAAAAACTGCACCTTGGGCGCCTGGGTGGCTCAGTCGGTTAAGCGTCTGCCTTCGGCTCAGGTCATGGTCCCAGGGTCCTGGGATCGAGTCCTGCATCGGGCTCCCTGCTCGGCGGGGAGTCTGCTTCTCCCTCTGACCCTCCCCCCTCTCATGCTCTCTCTCATTCTTTCTCTCTCAAATAAATAAATAAAATCTTTAAAAATAAATAAATAAAAACTGCACCTTACACAACAAAATTGTACATCTAACAACTTAGATTTGTTTTATTTTCTTCATTTCTTACAGATTTTTATTTTTGAGTATTTGTTACTTTTTTCCCCCTAAATGTTAGGCATTATAAAATACAATGTTTATTAACATTATTAGGTGTTGGATCAATGAGTAGGAGATACATAAAATTACTTAGTTTAATTGCAGGAGGAAATGTTGGTGAATATTGCAATAAAGGTAGGTAGCAAATAACAATAATGAGTTGTAAGTATTTCAGTGTATTTCTGTTTGTAGACTCTGACTAGTGAGGCTTATTTTAAAATTATTCTTCCTAGTTTTAGCAAGTGAGTGGGCTTTAATTTCTTCATGGCTTAAAAACTGCTTTTTCATTTTTATTATTTGGTAAAAATTCCAGCTCTGACACATTGAAATTTTACTGTAATCTGCCCTCTAAAACTTGGACTGTCCTTCCTGTGAGTTACTGTGATGCACGTCGATACGCTAGTTCTCTGGGGCTGGTGGTGGTGTCTTTCTCATGAGACTTGTATTTCACTTCTTACCAAAAGTCACTTTGTCCCTTAGGAAAGTGGAGCCACTGAGGGCATTTTCATAGGAACAGTGGGGTGGATAGGTGGGTCGGGGGCGGGGGAGGGATGTCAAATACCGGAACTATTCCTGTTCTTAATGGGTCTCTACACTTTCAGGGAATCTGCAACACATTTGCAGTGCAGAAGCATGGGGAGATGCTAATCTTTTAAGAAGATAGTGGGCTGTGCCGCTCTTGGTAACCATGGGTACCTGTTGGATATCATAAGTGTCTAAATTTGGTTGCTTTTGGAAGAAGGCTCTCTAAAGTTTGGGAGGTATAGAACTATGGCTACTTAAAGCTTTAGGAGACAGGATCTTGGTATATTAAAGATACTTTATTTAATATGAGAGTATGACTTTGATTATAGAGGCCTTTGTGAAAAGCTGCTAATCCTACAATGTTGTAAGGAAGAATACACTTTGTGCAATATTGGATTTAGTGTCACTTTGCCTTGATGATGGCAGGTGACTTATATATAAATGGGGAGTGTCCCCTGAGTGATCACACATTTAGAAAATGCTCCGTCTGCATGGAAGTATTATCAGCTGTGGCTCCTGGTTATTTTCTCCCACGCTCTCTGAGGTTCTCCCTTTCCGTATCAGTATTTACCAGTATATTTTACTAAAAAATTGTCCATAATCTTATTTTCCTGCTTAGCTCTACAACTTAGTAAGGCTTACATTTACTTTTTGGGTGACAGATTTTGTTTTGTTTTGTTTTAAATGTTTGGTGTTTATTCCCTTTACTCTCTGCATTCAAGTCACCTGTCTTCCTTTCTGGTCCTGTTTTCTGTCTGCATCATCCAGTGGCAATTCTGGTGGTGCTCCAGGCTTGTAAAACCTCAAGCGTTGTATTCATTTAATTTTGTGAAATAGCGTGTGATTTGATTATGGCTAACGACAACTTGCTTCTGTGCTTGCATAAGGAAATAATTAGTAATAACACTTTTGTTTCTTGATAGTTCTTAGTGGCAAAGTGTTACAAATAGTTGAGTTACATCTCGGAAGTCTGGGGATCTTGGGTTTTTTTTTTTCCCTCCACCAGGTTGTAGAGAAAAAAATTAGTAAAGTGTTGAGTTATATGTGTTTTTAGCCCCTGGTATTTAATTTAGAGTTTATAGCGTGGAAGGCTTTGGAACTTCATGGGTCGTCGGTTGCAGGTACAGCACACAGTGTGTTGTGTTGAGGTTTTTCTTCTGGCTGTGGTCTGCAGCGTTCATGTGACGCACAGAGTGGTTTTGCATTTGTAGAGCCTTTTGCCGTAAACTTGGTAAAATCCACGTTTCCTAAATTTTGTATTTATTTTTCACACACTTAATTTTGCCTGTCTTCTATTTCATCTTAGATTTGTCTGACTTGTGTACATTAAACTGTCATATTAGGCAGTTAGGTGTTTCAGAACAAGAATTCGTATTTGAATACATCGCTGGAGGATTTTCGCCGTCATTGCAGTGCTGAAGGCTTGTGTCTCATCTGCTGGACCTGCTGCGCTGTGCTTCCCACGGGCAGCCCTGCCCCTGACACTCCCGTGACGTGGGAATGGTCTAGATCTGTGGTGTCCACTGTGGGAGCCAGTGGCCAGAACGGCTCTTGAGCCCTTGAAATGTGGCTAATGTGACCGAGGAGCTGCGCTTTTTATTGCACTTCATGTGAATTCGTATGAAAATAGTCACGTGCGGCCAGTGGACGCTTCGCTGGGCAGCGCAGGCACGGACCCTTGTTGTGCCAGAAGGAGTGTTGGAGACGTCGGAGTGTGACTCAGGGCGGCTGCACAGTGACGGCCGCGCCCCGTGTTGCGCCCCGCACCCCAGAGCGCTTCGTCCTGGCACCAGCGCTCTCGCAGACGCGCACGCAGACCCTCGAGCTGCTGGGCGCCCCTTTGGAGTCTGTTCCGTGCGTTTGCCATTTTCTGACGGGCCCGGCCTGCCGTGGGGCGGCGTGAACACTGGGCTGACAGGCAGCGCACAGTCGGGCTCTGCTCTCAGCTCTGCCACCGCCTGGTTGTCTCGTCTTAGAGAAATCATTTACCTTTCCGGCCTCCCGTTCCCTCCTGTGTAAAATGTGTGAGTCTCACATCGCTGTGGTGCTGCTACAGGTGTCGGACTGATTAAATCCTGAGTAGGGGAGAGCCCCTCCTAGCTCACATGGTGTGTCTGTCTTGTGCAACGGGACCTGAGGTTTTCGCGCCTCAGGAGAACATGTTGTATGCAACTAGAGAAGAGGTTGGCGATTCACAGCTACCGCCGGGAAGAACTGGGGAAGGAGCCCCTGGAGCTCTGGGCTGTGTGGGCTGGTGCTGCGGGGAGGGGTGGGTGTGGAGCCGTGAGGTTTGCCAGTGGCAAGGTGAGTCGTGCTGGAGGGGAAGAAGCCTCGTTAGAAGCCTTACCTTGGTGCAGGCCACGTGGTAAAAGCAACAGGAGGTGAGAAATAGTAATTTGAAGCAGATTATATTGTATTTGAAGCCTTACTGAAGTTTTTGTTTCATTCAAGCATGAGTAAGATCACATATCCCTAATATTTTACTGAAATCTACTTAACCCTCCCCCCCCCCCCCCCCCCCCCCCCCCACAAAAAGCAGTAAAGGTGGGAATACGTACTGTGGCAATCTTAAATCGCTTTAACAATATCCTGGTTTGTAAC